CTTGTGTGAGCTTTGGGTTTTTCTTGCTCTTGTTTTTCTAGGAGTCTAAGATTCATCATTAGGTTGTTTATTTGAGTTCGCTCTGTTTTCCTAGTATGGGCATTCAGTGCTATGAATTTTCCACGTAGAACTGCTTTCATTATATCCCATAGATTCCTGTATTTGGCATTTTCATTTATTTGTAAAAACTGTCTGATTTCTTCTTTAATTTCCTCTGTGATCCGTTGATTGTTCAGGAGAGTGTTGTTCAATTTCCATGTGTTTGTGAAGTTCCTACGGTTTCTTGTGCTATTGATCTCCAGCTTGATTGCACTATGATCTGATAATATACAGGGGATAACTTCCATTGTTTTGCATTTATTCAAACCTGTTCTATGAGCTAGTATGTGATCTATCTTGGAGAATGACCCATGTGCCGCCGAAAAGAATGTATATTGTGATTTTGTCAGGTGGAACACTCTATAGATGTCTGTTAAGTCCCTGCATTCAAAAACTTGGTTCAGTGCTAGTATTTTGTTGTTGATTTTTTGCCTAGATGATCTGTCTATTTGTGAAAGTGGAGTATTCAGAACTCCAAGTAAAATTGTGTTACTGCTTATTTGGTTTTTCATGTTTCTTAATATTTCTTTTATATAGTTGGAGGTGTTAATATTTGGTATATATATGTAAGAGATTGTCATCCCTTACTCTTGCATTGTTCCCTTTGCAAGGATGTAGTGGCCTTCTTTGTCTCTTTTAATCAGTTTTGGTTTGAAATTTACTTTATCTGTGAATAATATTGCTACCTCTGCTTTATTCTGGGCTTCTGTCGCATGGAGAATTGTTTTCCATCCCTTCACTATCAGTCTATGGGCTTCTTTTTGTACTAGGTGTGTTTCTTGTATACAACATATTGTCGGATTTTGCTTCTTAATCCATTCTGCCAGTCTATTTCTCTTGATTGGTGAGTTGAGGCCATTGACATTGATGGTGATAACTGATATGTACTGACTTATTATTGTCATGTTATTGGCCTTTTGTTGACTCTTTTTACTTTTTCACCTTCTCCTTTTAGTTTCTTCCCTTGACTATTTGATTTGCTCTTTTGCGCCTCATGGTGTTGTTACCGTCATTGTCTTTTTCTAGGATATTGTTTGGAATTTCTTGTAGTGCTGGTTTGGTATTCATGAAGTTTCTCAGGTGTTCTTTGTCATGGAAGTATCTTATTTCCCCACATTTTGAAA